GCAAAGAATCCCGTCTTTCTGTCCTCTTTTATCTTCTTTAGCCCCTTATTCTTAATTCCGTTTCCTGCTTCTTTCTTCTCTTTCCGTCCTCATATCTCTTCTACCCTCCATCCCTGCCGGAGGTGTCATTGTAAATGCCATGTCGAGAATAAAGGAAGGGGGTTATTGTTTGTGCCTGGGGACGCCTCTTTTTGTACTCGAGCAGACATCAGCGTGGACAGCTATGGAGTGACGGGGGGGACACAGGCGCAGCACACATGCACATAAAAAGACAGATATTTTGGTCACTGCAGCTCTGGCTGTGACGAGCCTGACAACTACTTGTGTTCCAAACTCTGACACTGGGGCAAGCTGGAGGCTCCTTCTCCGCTCTGCGTCAGCCTGCTTTGATAAGACCACATCTAGAAAGGGCAGCTCTCAACCACAGCTCTTCAAAACTAGACTTAATGTAGAATCTTTTCCAGCAGTAATACCAGGAGTTGTTTGGCTGCCCTTTTCAGCTTCCCCACCGGGTACAGGACTGAAATCTTTCATTCTGCTGGCCAGAAGTGCTCTTTAATAAGCCGCCCTGCGTCATGACTGCGTTATGTGCATTTCTGTAAATATCACGTGTAATTTTAAAAGTTCTACAACGGAATCGGATCTCGAAAAGTTTTAAATTAAACTATTGTAATGTCTCAGTATATAAAGTGAGTCTCACTCTCGCAGCATCTGTGAAGTTAGGTTCACACCCAAATATGAGAGCTTGAAACTACACAGGGTACTCCTGTCTGTCCGTGTGAGTCTGTGAGTGAGCGATAGATTTGAGGTGTCACAAAGGGAATAAAATTAAGTTGGGGAGACTGATGATGTAACTGTGGAGACATACCAAACTCACCTGCCCTCGGTTAAAATCACAAAGAACAGACAGGTGATGGAAGGATAATGAAAGCAACTGTTAGGACATGTTCTCTTCGCACCGTCTTGATAGAAGCCGCCCACCGCCAGGCCCTAAAGCCACTTGTACCGCAGCATAAGGATAAAGATAAGGAGTAATGAACCTAGCCGGTGTTGTACTGAAGTCGAATTTTTCAGTCAGTCAGTTCAGGATGGAATAGGATTGGGACCCTGCACATGAATTACACCACTGTTACTAATCTAAAGGGTTATTTCATCTGGAAAGATAAGCCCCTGGTCTAGGCTTATTGTACAGCAGGTCTGTGTCATTGCCTACATGTGGACCTGACTGTGCTATGAGATAAGAGTGTTGAAAATCTCTACACCAAATCATATTATACATACATACATTAAAATTAGTAATGGCTTTTTTTTTGGTTTTAGATCAGTTGAAGAGTAACTTTCTCCTTTAATGTTTGAGAATATCTTTTAAATGAACATTTTGATTATAATTGCCTTTAAGACAGATGAGAAAATCAATACCACTCTGATGTATGTGTGTTAAAGGTACTCTGAGGAGTTTCTGACCACTAGAATTGCTATAGAGCAGGGTTTGTGTGTTTTTTACAACTGGGTCTCCATTTTGTTCGGATTGTGCATGAGTGTGAGCATCTCCTGGCTGGTAACCACGCAACCTCTGATGCTTTTTTTGTTTACTGTGCGCTCCATTTTGAATGTATTAATAACGTTGCTCAAAAGCACAATGCTGGTGGCGCTTCACATTGCTGTTTTAACACTTGTCACTGTCTGCACATGTAGCAGTCTGTCCATCTATGTTTTCTAGATACCACCACTGCTTCAAGTGGGAGGAAACCACTAGCCTGGTTCTGTCTGAAGTTGAAAATTATTCTTACTGGCAACTCTAAAATTCACTAATTAACACTTAATATCTTGTGTATTTAATCCACAAATTAAAAAATTGCAATTTGTTGTTTTACAGGGTGTTACATAAAGCGATTGTTTCTTAATGTACAACAGCAAGGTGCAGTAACTTCCCAAAGTCTCCACTGGTTGCCAGACTAGCTGTTTCCCCCTGCATCCAGACTCAGAGTGATACCAATGTCTCATAACTGAAAGTAGAAGTATAAAAGTTTAGATGTACACAAGTTCCATAAACACTGGCCATTTGTAGAACAGTAATATTTTATTACAAACTTAACTTAAAAACTCAAGTAAAGTGCCAGTACATCAAAGGTAATCTGCAGAGGCTGAGAAATGGGACTTTCTGGAAATGGTAAGTTCTTGGTGTAGGCCAAGCACCAAAAACCCTGGAATCTACTTTTCCTAAAATGCAACTCGATTGTGTCTCGTCGTTAGACTCATTAGACACCTCCAGTTTGTAGCTCAGTCTTTGTGTTCACAGTGTGTAGTCCCCAAGCCCAAGCAAGATACCCAGTCGATGTCACTTCAGTGACTTTATTCAGACTTGACAAAGCCCCCTCCAGAGCCACAGACGACATTTTACAACGGTTTTCACAGGCTGAGTAGTGCTGAGTTAACACTGGAATAGGTGTACGTACCCACCACTGGGTGTGACATAACCATCCATGTTGTATAAAACAGCCAGCAGTTGTGTTTTTGTGAGATTCATTTAGGATTTGTGTCTTTTTGTGATTTGTGTATTTTTGTAACCACAGTATCAGTCGGTTTTATGTGTATGATTCGTTCAAAAAAGAAGCTTCTGCCTTGTGTTGCATTGCTGATGTCTCTCAGAGTAAAGCACTTACCTGCTTCATGCCCTGTAAAGCTTCTCATTAAAAGCCTCTGAATGAAATTGGATGGTGTCACTATGTTGAAAATGGCTGTGTGGGGGGAAAAAGAGCAAGTTAAGATGCCTTTTTGTAAGTAAAGGTACTGACAGTTCACACATCGACCACGTCAGACCTTTTGTTTGGCAAAAAACATGTAGGTTACATCACCAACACTGTATTGACAAACACTGTAGTTCCACACACAAAAGAGTGTCTCTTAATTTTCTGTCTGTTATTTTAAATGCTGCATTTTCTTGTATTAAACACCAGATTTCAAAACAAATTTTGACTCGCTCGATGGAGAGATACTCAATCTCAAGACACTCCTCATTAGATGGTTCACTTGGTCCATTCACTTCAGCTTTCAAATTAAAGCAAAGTAGGCATCCTAATTCATCTCACAAAGGATATGCTGCAAATATGGCCTTTCATCCCCAGCGCCAATCCAACAGGACATTACTTTTTTTTCTCTTTTTTTGAAGAATTTCTCAAGAGCAGTATTTTGACTGAGGGTGTCTTGGGTTTGTCAGTATCCATGTTCATCCAAGGTTTCCTACAGCAAATTTGGCCCATATTAACGTTTACCCAGTGTTTGTTTGGACAGAGACATGAAAAGTATGTGGGTTTGCCAAAATTAGTTTTTTTTAACACGGGTTATGTAATTTATTTAACAGGATTATATTTAACCACAAGGCAAAAACTGTCTACAAATATCAGTAATGTGTTATTGTAATGTGATGTTGTAAAACTCCATATTGGCGACAAGTTATATGTATAAGCAATAATTATTTTACTCTGTATGATTATGTGCAGCAGAGTTAACCACATATCAGATAGAATGGCACTCTTAAAGTACTTCTCATTTGCTTAGATAAGCTTGCGCAGGATTTAATACATTTCTGTACAGACACATTACAGTTGAATTTAGTTAGTTGGTCTGCCACTTTGTTTCAGACTGAAAATTCTCAACAACTATTGGATTGGTTGAAATGAAATTTTGTACCAGCATTCATGGTACCCAAATCAAATCCTGACAACAATGGTCAGCCTTGACATTTCGTCTAGAGCGGCAACGTTTTAAATTATCTTGTGAAATGTCTGAACATCTGGGAGCAGTTGCACAAGATCTTGTTCAGATGTTCATTGTTCCTGAATGATTTATATCTTCGTGACTTTTCACTCAATTTCCACTCAGGCTGAATGGTAATAGCTTTTTAGTGCCATCATCTGTTCAAAAGTTTGTCAATTTTATTATGGCTCATGACCATGACAGTACCTGCAAAACTAATTACTTTCCTATCAATCTCAGTTGTATTTGTGTTTTTATGTAGTGCTAATCCCCATAGTGCTAATACGGTAAGCGCATGCTGTCCACAGAGAGCAATTCTGCTGCGATGCTGCTGCCTGCCTGGCCTGTCTTTCTACACTGAGTTTACCTTTGATAAATACAGTACAATGAAAGCCTAGTTAAAAATGAATTGATTTTGTGTACAGAAACGCTAGAAAGCTTTTAATCTGAAACAGATACAGGAGGGTGTTGAGTGAAAAACTGTAGTGAAAGGTGTATATCCTGCCGGTATAATGTCGATATGACTATGAACAGATCATTTTCACTGTCTATTTTTACTGAGAAGCGCTCGTGGGAGAAACTGGCACCACCTCGACTCTCTAGTGAAGCGTCGCTGCAGTCGCACCTGAGACACAGCTCACGCGGGCAGTGTGGCTGCTCTAACCTGTTAACATGGCCGCTAAAATTAAAAGCTAGATGTTCCGCAACGCAGGTGTGCTGCAGATCCGTGCAGCGTGGCCGCAGCTAGAGTCTTGTTTAAATCACATTTTTAAAACACATTTTGATTCACCTTCATTGTGTGGATTGTTGGCAGATATGAGACCTGGGCCAGTGAAGCCAAGAACCTGAATGGCAAGATGCCATTTAAGGTTAAGTGAAAAGATGTTAATATAATATGGAATTGTCATTATCCTAATTTTATCTGTGTTACTGTGCTTTTAGTGATGTTATGGAGATCTGCGATGTGTCTGCTGTTTCCATATTGCTCTACAGTTAGTTAATACGACTGAATGTGATTACACAGCAAGTGCAGTTGTATGTATTATGTATTAGGAGATTCTCAGCCATGACAGTGATCTGATGACTTGATGTAACATTGATAATGAATTTCGTTCCACCAACTGCAGTGGGACTGATAATAGATGTAAAATTTGTTATTTCTATGACTTCTACATGACTGGCAAACCCCTTCTTGCGGGAACTGTCATAAAACCCATGACCCTATTTCTGACATCAAAAATGAATTGAGGAAGAAGTGACACTTTTAATTGTAATTACACAATTACCGTATATAAGTTTGACACTTGAATACAGTGTTGCCTTCAAAAGAACACACATGGTAAATTAATAAAGTGATCTGAGCTGGATATATCACCTGTTCTTATATTGAACTTTATGACCTTAAACCTCAGATACAGTGACCTCTACATGAGTTTAGATGATTTCAACAGAATACAGCAGCCAGGTTCAGACTAACCATAGGTGCAGTTTACATAGCTTCTGAGGACACAGCAATGGGGTTCAAGTGATCATGTGACCCAGGCAACACAGGTTTAAACCCGTCTAAAACCAGAGCAAACCTAATGCTAGAGCAACAGCCCCAGCATGTCTTGGGCTTATTGTCTAATTGTTTGTCAATCAAGAAACAATGTCCCAGTGTAATAGGGACTTTATTAAATGCTTTTGATGGGTTGTCCAGAGTTACTGTGAAACCGCTATGGAAAGTTTCTATTTCATTTCTTTAATGTAATTTTCCAACCAGTACCACCAACAAATCTGACTTCTCCTCCATTGTATTGAGGTGAAAACTGAAAAAACAGAGACAGATACCTCATGACATTTAGAAAGTACATCAAAACTGTCTATGGCTAGATCCCACTGAAACTAAGATTTTTTTTTTTCCTTCATTTTTAGGTGAACTGACCCATTTTCACTCAAGCAAAGTAATCAATCAAACGTCGTTGAAATGTGAAATGAAGGTCCTGAGTGTGTTTAAAACTTCTGGCATACGTATGGTTTCTCCAGGAAAGGAGACAGTGAAAGAAAGGCTATTTTATTGTGCTCATTTTAATTTTTTGACAAGAAAAGAAAGAAAGAAAGCCTCTGAGAGATCCTATGGCAGAACATTCTCTCTCTGTCTCTCTCTCTCTCACTCCCTCTCTCTTGCTCTCTGGCTCCTGAGTCATTCGCAAGAAGAATACAACACACTCTTCCACTGAAGATTTCCTTGCAGCATGCTCCATTGTCGCTTCTGTCTGTTGTCAGTAGGACCTCTATTTATTTCCACTTTCTAGGCATTGTTGTTTCAAAAACACAGTTTCTCTTCATCACGCTTCAAAGAATAGCAGTGCTGATTAGGGTCACTGTCGACTGGTCGCCTCAACCGCCAGCTTGTTGTTTTCTGATTCTAGACAAGCTCTGCAACTCTCTGACACATGATGAATTCAGGCCATTATTGTTCATAAACAGAATGGGGGAAAAAAAACAAAAACAGTAGTTTAATACATCGCTACATTGATATTACTGTTACTCAAAGAATGCTCAAGTGAGGCTTAAGAATCAAACAATTACAAAATTGCAGTCAGGAAAGTATAAGTTAAGAAACCAGGAAATTGTTCGATTTTCAAAGCAATGCAAAAGTCAAAAAGATTAAAGAAAATCGAATGTTTTAAGGCTGTTGTTTAGTTAAAGCCACAATCTGGGACGTGTAATGCAGAAACAACCACTGTTAATTAGTTTCCTTTTTGGATCGGAGTGGAACTGTTTGCTGCAGAAGCAGAGGAACCATGTCCTAGCTGCTGCAGTACGAGGGGAGAAAAAAACTGCCTGCTTTTAGCCCCACAAATGAATACTTTAGCAGTGCTACAAACAGCTGTGGTGATTTCACTAACCCACGATTATGGCTTTAACTGGGCTTAATGACTTGAGCATTCTGAACTCATTATAGCAGAGAAACAAGATTTTATACAGTGTTTCCATTTACCAATAAACTTTTCATAGTTTGCCAGCTCTGTTGTTTTCTGTTTTGTAGTTTTCAGTGTTGTTTCAAGGAGTCAAGGAGTTCTGTTTCAATTCAGAAAGCGACACGGGTGCCATTCAGTCCGTATAAGCATTTGTAATTACAAATTGTTTGTCAATACTGTTTGTTAAGCTTGTTAAATTCAAAATCCACTGAATTGAAATGTACTTGACTCCAACCCTGGTTTACAGTCTTCTTAAATGAGTTGTAGTAGCACAGTTCTGTATAGAATAAACAGCAGTATTTCTGTTATCACATTTTTCTCCTCTTTTCAGCCTCCAGTATTTAGATCCTGCAGATATTGCAGATATACATGTAGTCTCTTTTCACAACGCTACTGATACTAATCTCGTTTTACTAACACTTATCATATCAGGAACTTTTTTTCAGTTGAAAACCTTTAATAAGGCAAAACCCCATTGCTATTACTGATACATGTTTGCAGTGGCAATTTTGGGCTTCTTGTGGACAACATTTGGTTGACACAAACTCGTGTGAGGAAAGTCGACCATGAGAATCTGCCCCGAGTGGGTCAGATTTTGTTTTTTAAAAAGCCAAATATTCCTTATTTATCGCCAATTCTGAAACACAAGTGGCCATCTGAACAAAGTTTTCTGTCATATAGATGAGGACACTGTTTGAATACAGCTTGTACATCCGAAACAGAAAATCCAGCTGCTAAACAGTATTAATTTCTTAAAGAATACATTCATCTGTGTGTGGTTGTGGTTGTGTATGCATGTGCTAGAGTTGTAACTGTAAGGGTGATGGTGGGTGAATAGTCGGGGCCGGGTCAGGGGCATATAGGGTCAATTTACTACCACAGTACTTTGGTCTTAGAAATGATTGGAGGATAGAAGGGGAGCAGTGAGCCAATGGTGGTGGATCTTTTTGTGCAAATTGTTGTTCTGTTTGGCAAACTGATGTGTATCAATGTGAAGGAAAAGAGGTCTGTAAATAGTAGTATTTAAAATCATTTAAAATACTTCTTTGTGATTTATGAAGTTGGCACAACGGCACCACAGTGGAACCAGAGGAATCCAAAAAATTAAAAGTAAAAACCTGGGAGATGGGAGGAGAAAATAAAACAATGAATTGTTGATAAAACACAGTGGATCTACAGTGTATCGGGAAGGAAGCTGAGAGTTTTAGGTCTTTTCCTAAGAGTCGTTTTTTGATTTTGAACAGTGCAGATATGTTTCCCCTGTGGGAATTGAAGACATTCATTTGAAGATTAGAATTTTAGTTCGATTTCAAAATCAAAAACGTACCATTGTAAGTGAACAGGTAGGTAACTAACTTGGGATTCTGGTTTTCTGAAAAGTCTGAAAGATTTCAAAACCATGTTGTACAAACAAAACAGTCACCTCTGTTGCAAATATAGAACTTCTCTCTCTCATCTGTACAGCGCTCCCTCGTTAGGAGGATAAGGAGCAGGTGTAGCAGGGGTTCACCAAGAGAAAAGACGGCCTTGTTTTTGGCTCAGCAGAGAGCACATTCCTCTTGGTAGAAAAGAAGAACTCAAATGTCTCGTCCATCATACTGTTTGTCTCTGTTGGTGTGCACTTCTCAGCTGAGAGGTTCAAAACAGTCAAAACACAGTCACACGACAGAGCCATGCCATATTCAAATAATAGAGTATTAATGATGAGGAGCATAGGAATAATAAGAAGACCAGTAATGTAATAAGAATAATTAATAGTAATAACATATCATTCTAGGTTTTTTAAATTCTGTATATAAAAACAGTGGCGAGGAGAAGTTGGTACACAGTAGGGCTCTACTATCCCCTTGGTTGATTTGGCACATTATACTCACTCTCTGGTGAGAGCTACCTACTCATTCTCAGCACAGTTGAATATTACTGTTGCCTGGCGACCCACCCAGAATTTGTCAATTATATGTTTCAAATCTCTCAAATGACGGCAAATCTTTCAGAATGTCTTTTTTCGCAGTAGTATCGCAGTGTGCGATACAAAAACCAACCAGAAAAGCAAAATCTCGATTAATCCACTGCCGTAATGAAAATTGGTGAGGTCGATCTGCCGTGGTCAGGTTTTGATGAATGTAAATTCTCAAGGCAGATTAAAAGTGTAGTCGGGCTTTCCAGGATGGGTTGCCCGGCAACATTTAAGGTTTTTGTTCTTAAAGTTGATTTTTTTTTTTCTTCATTCAAAACTTAGTACAAATAGCTACATAAGTCTGAGCTATAATTTTCATTACATTACAAAAAGTAACTCAGTCTCTCTATAAGTTATGATTTTTGTTGTTCAATATAATATATTAGTTTGGTCCTCCTTCATGTTCTCAGAAGCAAAGGCTTGGTTTGTGTAAAGTGTGAGCCTGTGTGTGTGTGTGTGTGTGTGTGTGTGTGTGTGTGTGTGTGTGTGTGTGTGTGTGTGTGTGTGTGTTTGTATGTAGATGTATGTGTGTAGTTTGATTCTGTAGATCCTATAGATCCTGTAAGTCGTGTGTGTTTGTGTGTATTTACAGGTCGTGGTTGTCGTATCAGTCTGTGTTGCTGTATCAATGTGTTATGGGTGCAGTGATGTTGTTTTCCATCTTCAAAGTGTTTGGGGTCTCCAGATGTGGGATCAGGTCTTCTGCTGGGCGGACACACCCTTCCAGTAGTCCAGTATGTCGTGAAGATCCTCATCCTTGGCAAACTGAACCTTTCGCCTCAGTGCGTGTCCGGCTGCCACGTATCCTTCGTCCTCCATGGACGCCTGCCGGTGCCTCTTACGGTGCAGTTTGAATCTCTCCCACAGCCCCAGGGTCGGGGTGCAGAGGAGCCCTTCCTCCTCCTCGTCTTCCTCTGGGCTGGAGCAGTAGCTGAGGTTGTGGTACTGTGGTGACAGTGGGTAGTGAGGCGAGAGCTGGGAGTAGGCCAGCTCCCGCTGCTTGGCCTGCCTGCTGAGGGTGATGGGGTCCAACATGGAGGGCTTACGGCCGCCTGGATGGTGATGGAGCTCCTGTAGGATCTGGGGGTGGTGCTGCAGTTCCTGGAGGTGCTGCTGGGAGCCGGGATAAGAGTGGCGGTGTTCATTGTACTGGCGGATTCTCTGGGCTTCAGCTCGTAGGATAGCTGCTGCTGGGGTGACTGTACGAATGGCATCCCCACCTCCACCTCCCCTTTCTCCTCTCTCTCCGGGTGAGGTCCTCTCGATATAGCGGGTCTCTGACGCGTGATAGCCTCCCTCCGAGCGGAATGAGCGAGGGCTCCGGGCAGAGCCTGGAGATGAGGAGGTGCTAGGCCTTTTGGAGGTTGGAGGAGCCTCCATGCTGTGGTGTCGCTGCAGCGAATGATGGTAACTTCTCCCCCTCTCTTCTCTTCCTCCTCTTCCTCCTTTATACACTGGGGAGAGAAACTCGCCTCCTCTTTCTCCTCTCTCGACTTGCTCAGAGAGAAGCACCAGCTGTGGCTCTGCAGTGGAAACAGCACCTCCACCTGCAGAAGAGGGGGATTTCATTCCCTGTTGAAAGGAGGTAGACTCAGATTTGAGAGCATCTATACAGTTGTTGATGATCTGGTTAACTTTATCAACTTCTTTAGCAATGGTTGAGATCTCTGCTACTGAGCCCTGGGGATTTGCTTGTGGCGACATCTCTCTTTCGCGCTCTCGTTCTCTTTCCCTTTCAATCCCGGACCCTCTCACCTCCATGTAGTTAAGTTTAGCAGGCTTATGTGGCGGTGTTTCTATCACCTCCTGCAGCTTGTATGGATCTATCTCACCACCCTGAGGAAGGTAGGGCATTCTGGATAGACTGTCCCCGGCTGCAAGCTTCTGGGAAACTGATCCTCCGCTCCCTCCCTCTATATCCCCTTCTCCACCATATTTGAGCTCTATCAGAGTCCTCTGGATCCTGCTCATCTTCCTCTCCTTCTCCTCCATGATCCTCCTCTTCCTTAGGCAGTGGACAACTAGGCCAAGGAAGATTAGCATGCCAAACAAACAGCCTAAAATTGTCATAATGTAGTGGGTGGCTGACGACTCATTGGGTAGCCTCTCAGCCCCGGTCCGGCGGCCAGTGGAGAGGGTCAGACAGGTATGGTTAAAACGCAGGGCGTTTCGTATAGAAGCCACACAGTATGTGTAGTCGGTGTTAGGTTTTAAGTTCTTTAGTTCAATATCTTCTCTTTGATTTTTCAGAGTCTGGATATCTGTGAAGAAGCTGTTGTTATAAAGCACCAGGATGTACATTTTCCTATACGGATGAGGAATCTGAACCGTTATCACGGCGCTTGAATGTAGCACCTGTTTTAGCGCCATGATCGGATTGGCATCAGAGAAAATGGTGCTTAAGCTGATTAGGTCATCAGGAGGGGTCCCAGAAGCACAATCATCCAATCCGCATGGAGAGGCAATATCTGGGGGCGGGGTGGTGGAATCGGTCATTACATAGAAGGATGTGGCACTATTCATGTCGTCTGTGCATACAAGACTGAGCACGTGCAGAGCGTTGCGTTGGGTAGGCATACGGGGGTTCTGGCTTAAGAGGTTGTAGCCGAAGAATCCTTGAGGGGAGTCGCACACCATCCTCTCACTGGTCCTGTTGGGGAAAGCTGAGAGCCAGCGCAGGAAACCCAGCAGCTCACAAGAGCAGTTGAAAGGATTTGTGTAAAGTTCACAGGTGGTCAGCTTAGAGAGTCCAGAGAACAAACTGCCATCCAGCACCTGGATCCTGAAAAGGGACAATCATAGATTAAAATTTCACCTTCAGGTACACTCACGATCTACAGTGTCAACAGAAAGTATCAAAATCAATCTTTTTTTATCCACGGATTCTTCTCCCTTGTCAAAACCTTTATCCCTCATTACACACAATGCACCTCATCACATGTAGTAGATTTGCATAACACACCAAGAGATTTGAGTTTGATAGGCTAGTGCTAGCTAATGTAGCTCCAAGCTGTTAACCTTGAGCTGAGGTCTTGCGAGTTTACTTATTTCTGACTTCAAACTCCCACATTCTAGTCTTCAGCCTCCTCGAGTGACGTCATTTGAGGCAGTTTATCGTACATTTTCCTGTACGGGTTAGGAATCTGAGCCAATTTTCGGAATTTTCTCAGATATGCAGTAGTTCTCTGCAAGACCAGGGACGTCATTTATAAAACAGACTTAAGATTCATTTTGAATACCTTATTTTGACGTGGAAATCATCTTAAAACAACCCCCTTAAAAGGGTTTCTTACTGAGTCTTCTTATACTTCAGTTTATGTTCTTAAACATCTCCCAAAGTACCTTTCAACAAACCCCAAAGAGCAGTTAAACTTGTTCCATTCAGCTGTTGCTTTTACATTTAAGCCAAGAGATCAATATCAGTTACAGTACCGATAGCAAGAACAAGACAGTTATTCCCACTGCGAAAAAGTAGGAATCTCAATTTTTATTGAAAAGATGGCTTGTTATAGCATTGCATCCTGGTTTACTGAGGATACTGTCAGTGTGAAAATTACTATCTCTGTGTCTTCTGCAGTGCTTTCTTTTTCCTGGTAAGTCTGTCCAACATCCTTTTAGTGAATTTAGAGAGCAGCTCTTGGGGTGATGATACCAAGCCTGACTTTTAACATTTAACACTGATGTTTTGGCAGTGTTTAAGAAACCTATCTAGCTCCAGTGCAGCTGTGCCTGAAATATTTAAACTCGTTTTCTTACTTTGCTCAGTTAGCATCATACGCCAATGATCCACAAAACATGAACCCCAAGAGTCCGAGAGCCTATTTCGTTTTTTTTGTTAAATTCCACTTTCACATCGTGTTACTTAAAACAGCAAAACCGCTACAGAGCTGCAATGATTCTAATCGATGTATTGTTAAATGGTACTATTTCCCAGAGCATCAAATTGGTTGTTTTGTCCAACTAACAGTAAAAAGCCCTAAATATATTAAATTTTCAGTGTTAAAACAGAGTTCCTCAATTAATCGACTATTAAAATTGCTGTGAATTATTTTCTCAAAGTCATCTAATTGATTAGTCAGCTAACTATTTCAGCACTAGCACAGCATTTCTCTCTCTCTCTCTCTCTCTCTCTCTCTCTCTCTCTCTCTCTCTCTCTCTCTCATTAGACACATATGCACAGACCCAGGTCGGTACCTGTTCATGGAAAGGTCTATATTCTCTATGTTGGGGCATTCCCAGAAGGTGTTGGGTGTAACAGTCTCGATGAGGTTGGCTTGCAGGTAGAGATACTGCAGCTTGCCCAGGCCTCGCAGCATCCCCTCTGTCAGGTTCCTCAACTTGTTAAAACCCATCTGGAGAACCTGGGGAGACAAAGACAAGTGGGATTATTCTAATCTCTGAAGAGCCGGCCAGCACAAGGCACCACTCACTGCAAGCTGGGAACATACAGAACAAACAGACTACAGTTCTGTACAATTCATGTTTCACATGGTGATCTAAGCCTCTATGCTGTGCTGAATTTACTAAGATCTTGTTCACATTTTTACCTCTTGGCACAGTTCCAGCAGCTGGGGTAGATGTGTAAGCATGCCAGCTCATTATGGCTGCGTTCAGCTCAGTTTGGTGAAAACACTTTTGACTCAATGTCTCTGAAAGCCATAATGAGCGAGTGTTGTCTTTCTTGTCTTTGTGTGTGTGCGTGTGTAATTCTGGAAGAATTTAGATCCTTTACACAAATCAAAATCACAGCATCACAGAGAAAAAAACTCACTTTGATTACAGTTAGAAATCCTTCATTCAAAATTTTACTTAAGTAAAAAGAGTATTATCAGCTGAATGTACTTAAATGTTATAGTTGTACTGTATAATGGTACAAGTACCTCAAAATACAGTACATAGTAAATGTACTTTGTGTGTATGTGTATCTAGGTATAAATGTACAATATGTCGTTGCTCACCTGCAGGTTGAATTGTGCTGAGAACGCTCCGTCTTCCACATAGCTGATATCATTCTTGGTGAGGTTCAGATAGGTGAGATTGCCAAAGCGACTGAGTGAAGAATAATGGACCGACCGTATCTTGTTTTCGTTCAGCCTCAGGTCCACAATAGTGCTGTTGAGAGAAGTGTGAACTGTGACTGTTGATGTTTGGCAGAGAGGCAAAATAATGTCGACAAAACTCACTTTTATTGCAAGTTTACCCTACCTGTTAATGTGGGAGGGGATGGCCTCGTAAGGCGGCTGGTTCATACTGCAGATAGCCAGCCACACAAAGCCTTTCTCCCCTTCAATAAGCCAGCAGTCAGCCGTTACCATTGGCAACCGCATTATTGACAGCAGGACGAGCCAACAGAGGAAGGAGCTGGCTGTGGACAGGACCACTGATGAAGAACCTCCAGTCGCGTTTTGTCTCTGCCGTCCCTGTCCTGTCCTCTGGGCCATTTGGGATGTCGTCACAATATCCATTGGAGAAAGCCGACCAGAGATGCTTGCCATCTAACGTTTATTCGTGTAGGCTAGTGCCATTTGAAAGGGAGTGAGGGCTGGTTTATAGAGTAATATTTAAGTGTATGGTGACCTGGTGTTGACTTTTTTGTCGTATTTGTGTCTTTGCTGCTTGAGGTATGCTCACAGCATGATCAAATGCTGTTTCTTCTTAGCTTGTTTTGTAATTGTACAGAAAATTGAAGTTGAACTTGTGTTAGGAATTAAGGATTTATCAAAGCAGAAACGAGTGCAGGAATGGGATGCATCACTTCATTGGCAGTATGCGTGTCTAGGTAAACTGTATCAATTGTTTAATTAGGGGGTCACATTTGATTTGTTATGTATAAATTGGCAAGTGGAAGTCGTCCTAGTGCCAGATTGGCTTGTACTCATGTCTTCTGTGGCCATCTGCATCTCTGATTGGACAAGCACCTCTTTTCTTTCTTCCTCATTGCTCGCTGCTCTGTACTTGGTGTGAGAACTCGTCCCTGGAGGGAAAGGGAAAGAGAGAGGAGGGTGTTGAAAAAGAAGTGCTAATGAAACACAGTGGTTTATTTTGTGAGATACCAACAAACACAACCCTGTTACCAGCATGGTGAGATAGAGGTAGTTATTTCTTCTTATATAACAGTCACACGCATACACATCCACAACACACACAAATTTATGCATGCATACACACATTTCCAGTACGCATAAGACGTTTCTTGACAAGTCCAATTAGTGCACATTGATGTAGATACACAACAAGCACCTGCAAATCTTAAAAAATACACACAGTTTGTCGCTGCTGTACATATACACACACATATTTTCTGCCACACCATTAGCCTCAGGGTCCTTGATAGGCCTGGGCTAAGAATGGCCATTACTCTGATACTGTATCTAATTAATTAATCTGCTCTAAATAAAACACTTCCTGGGAAAACAGCTGATGCCTGAACAGGAGAGACGGAGGAAGGCAGGGAGCAGAAAGAGGCTGTGGAGTGGTGAAGAGGAGGAGGAAAAAGTGTGTGCAGGAGGGTGGTGAGGAGGGATGTTTGGGGGGAGGGGAGAGAGATGGCGAGATGGAGTAAAGTAGAGGGAGGGATAAAGTGGTGAGGAAAGAAAGAGGCAGTGATTCTGTGAGAAAAAGAGGAGGCTGGGAAGAGAGAAGGCTGTAGAGTGGCTCTCTGTCTGGGGAATGTGCTAGAATAGTGGCTCCCTCTTTGAGAACCCTTTTTCTCAGCAACAAACAGGATGTGACATCATGGTGGTGAAAGAGGAGGGGTGGGAAGGAGCAAAAGGTCTAGCCTTCCTCACAAGCATCTTTTGGCTGCTGCTTCCTCCTTATTGATCACAGATGAATAGCAAGGTAGAGAGGTGGTGACGTGTCACCTCTAATCTGATAGGAGGGTAAAAGGGAGCAATGCTTTTGTGAATGGGACAAGGCTTCTCTCAACTTTTTGTGTCCTTGTAAAGAGCAGAAGTCCTGACGTCATACCTCGGCTAGCTGCTGTTCCACTAGCTTCTGTGACTTTATGTTATCTCTCAAGGGTCTATTTGATCTTTCTTTATCATCTTTCTAGTTTCTTAGCTATAATCTGTGCTCCACAGCCAGCCGCTAGTCACTCAGTGTGACAACAGTAACATGTTTTGCATGCATAATGTTTATCATGTTCACGATCTTTGTTTAGCGTGATAGAAAATTTCATGGCAGTCATGTTGTTGAGTGAGTTCACTTGAAACCACAAATGTTAAACTAATAAAGAACTAGAGGAAAAGTCAGGGCACCATAAATGTCCGTATAAAATTACAAGGCTATCCATCTTATACTAGTTGAGACATTTCATCCTGGACCAACAGACCGACCTTGACATTCCCAGAGCCGCGCCACTAGCATCCAGTAAGGGTGGACAGTTTGATACCTGAAGTATTGATTCTACTGATACTTGAATTGGATTGATACAAAAATAATAAACTGATATATCTTATGTTAGATCAGATTCCAGGCACATGTAATCAGTAAAAAGATGCGCTTTTTGTTATTATATTGGTTACTCTGGCCCTTGTATTACTTCAACTTATGTGAAATAGCCCAACCATACTGTTCAGCCCTTCTTGTTCATTCTCATACTCGTCTCAAACTGGTTTGGGTGTTTCAACCTGCTAACATTTAAGCTGGAAAGGTCTTGTGCTTAGATGAATTGTGTTTTTAAAGGCAGCTAAATACAAAAATATTAGACAAATGGAGTAAATCAAACATGTTGTTTAGCAATGATACATTGAAGTGTAGTAGATATATATGTAGTTAATGTGATATTGAAAGAGTTTTCTTTACCTCTATAACAGAACCAGGAAGTTCCGATTTCATCTTTCCATATAAACGTCATATATGTGACGTGTTTGTATGTGTGTACGCTAATGCAAAGGCTTTTCCACCCAGTCAGCACAATCTATAATTGATGGTGAGACTTCCTCCCACATAGCATGAGACAAACTACCCAGTTAGGCCACCAGAGAAAGGTTAGGAACTGCTGCCAGCTACACACACAAACAAAACAAACACACATATGCACAGGAAATGTCCATTCTGCTGACCAAGGGTTCAGCTGGGGTAAACAAACTGTTGACAGCGGAGAATATGGGGGTGTAGCGACTATGCAAAGCAGGGGGGGGAGACCGAAGAGTTTAGTTAACATGCAGAGATGGCTTATTTCTGCCTGACCTCTTTTTGTACCAAGGTGTAAGTGATGTCGACTGAAGGGTGGGAGTGCAGGGCAGCAGAGAGCAGAAAGAGATGCAGTAGCAGTTCCTGGCTTGCACTTGACCTCCTTTTGTAGTATATACTCTTGTAGTAGCTAACGTGATATACGCAGAAGGAACTGTTAAGAGTCTGTCGGCCTCTTTTCTATTTTGCATCATTCATTGCCTTCCACGACCACACTCGCATTCTCTGTGCGTATACACATGCTGCCGCCTCGGCTGCTGAGAACAACCATGTGGAATATTCTAGCACTCAGCATCATGACCAGCTCGCTTTCCAGTCATGTCACACTCAAAGATTTATTGGGTACAAACCGTCATATGGAGGGGAGGGAGACTGCGGTGGACTCTAACCTTGCTGTACTGAAAAGATGACGAGCTATGACGTCATGGACGTGGTGGTTTCAGGATGTATTGCGTAGATGTAGATGTTTTATAAAAAAAAAAAACGTGGGGAAAAAACCTGGAGAACTGGGGCTTGGAATTCTTGATATACACAAACAGACAGCAGTGTGTCACCTTTCTCACACACTCTGCTAAACAGCAGGGTACTGAGCCTCTCTACAGGAATGCTTTTCTGTATAACGTCACTATTTTATTCAGCAACTACACGCACACGCATACACACACACACACACACACACACACACACACACACACACACACACAGTCAAAAGCTGCCAAATTTGCTTTTAACAAGACAAAAAACAGAAAATCCAGCATCCTTTCACTTAGATGTCTTTAATCCTTCATGAGTGAATATCTTCATACACTCATTGATCATAATCTCAGCGAGCTGTCAGCTTGTCAGAGAGAAATGAACGGCAGCAAATGAGGCAAAGTAACAAAAATATTTTAAATCGAAACACAGACTAAAAAGTTTTAAGCTTCAGAAAACTTTTATGTCTAATGCTTGATTATACTGTAAGAGCTCTCTGCATCATACAAGGCAAGGCAAAGTATGTTTATTTGTATAACAACAAGGCAATTCAAAGTGCTTTACATAAAACATAAAAGGCCTCAAGACAAGATGTAAAAGCAAAATAAGGCAATATAAAAGGATGTACTCAGAGAAGTATCCAGAGTCAAACTTGAAAAATACAATAAAGATGTATCCTGTGGAGGAAGGTTAAAGCTTTTCTTTCTACCTCTGCCAAGAAACCTCTGTTTTCAGTGCTGTTTGTTTGATACTTAACAGATTTCAGAGACATCTGGTTGGGGGTTAGGCTGGGAGCCAAGGAAAAAGTGGTTGTATTTTGGTGCAGATCCAGGAGTTTACTTCTGCTGCTTTTACCTGAATGAATAAAGTATGTGTTCAGTGTTTGCTAACGACGAGCGTGTAATTTGATGCAGGTCTAGATGCTGATTTACCTATTAAGATGTTTGTATATTAAAATATCAAAATTATAGTTTGCCATAAGTTATGCACTGTCTTTACGCTTTCTACTTGCCGTAGTTTGGTTTAAAGTTTTTTCTTATCAACGGGCCCCATCTGCTGATGTTCATTGGTTTAATGGGGGCTCCCGACCAAGAAATAATTTGGCACATAACTCCCCGTAAAACCTCAATGGTCTTTCTACGTATTAAACAAACAAGATTCCACCTCTATGGTTTTTACAGTAGCTCAAAGCTGAAACAGGAAGTCCAAACAAAAACAAAGATTTCTCATTCTCAGAAATTTGGATAAGCTTTGGGGTTTGACTCTTGAAACTGAAGGTTTCTTGCCACTCCAATTAACTTGGAGTGTACAATGTTATTAATAATAGAATTATGGCCAAAACTATGAAAATAAAACCCAAGTTGTAATAAACCTTAATTATTCTTTAACACTGAAATATATTTGTGTTCCCACATTATGATAAATACCAACTACACACACACACACACACACACACACACACACACACACACACACACACACACACACACACACACACACACACACACACACACACATCCTATTCCAGCTTCCCATCGTCTCTTTTTCTTCCCTGTGACTGATGAACAGCACTTAAGAGATGGGTTATACTCCTGGGCAGGTTGGGAGCGAGGGAGAAATATGAGCACATTAATAACAGGCACGCATTAATATACGCACATACAGTACATGGACAAAAAAACAGACACACACAGAAACACACACCATTTCAGTGTGTAGTGGGGCGTCACACACTGCCATTACTATTCCAAACCAGTGTGGAAAAGCGGCAGCACCCAACAAAGCTGCAAGGATCCATCAACAGAAAAATGATGATGAAGGAAAAGCAGGAAGACAAATGACCTAAGATGCCCATATACAGTACTGTACGTTTGGACTTACTGTAAATCCATACTGTATTTGCATGTAAGCAAAGGTCCTCTGAGAATAACATTATGATGAAGATAAGGACGGATTCTCATCTTCCTCAGATGTGTTTGTTGCAATGTGGCATCAGAATAGAATAGAATATATGTCTCCGTAGGGAAATTGTTTTGGACTCAGGGTCTGCCTTTCCCATGCTGAATTCAGATTGAACACAGGAAATGATTCATGCATCAAATCCAGTGCAATTGAATCTATATAAGCCTCACTGTTTACTTTTAACTATATTTACAGTCTCAGAATGGTATTAACTTACAGCTAACGCAAACCCAACATTTCCACCTGCTGTTGTTTTATTAAAAAAGCATTATATTGGCAAATGCATATCTACATAAGAAGTCAAGCTTATTTTTGGCATGCTTTTGTCAGCCGATCAGATTT